ACCAAATTGAGGTGCTGGTGTTTATCAAAATGCATCTTGGAATTCAAAACAAACGCTTCAGGTTTTTAGTATTTCACCCTGTTTTATGGCACCCTAATTTATTGTTTTATACACTACTCTTAATTTAACTGCATTATTGTCTACAGTTATTGTTGTCTGTACTTTATATGTTCTGTCTGGAACAGGTCCCTCTTGTAAATGTGTCCCCGTGGCTCAATGAGGCTAGCCTACAGGTCCTTCTCAAAAAATTAGCATATTGTGATAAAGGTCATTATTTTCCATAATGTAATGATAAAAATGAAACTTTCATATATTTCAGATTCATTGCACACCAACTGAAATATTTTAGGTCTTTAATTGTTTTAATACTGATGATTATGGCATACAGCTCATGAAAACCCAAAATGCCTGTCCCAAAAAATTAGCATATTTCATCCCACCAATGAAAGACAAGTGTTTTTAATACAAAAAACGCCAACCTTCAAATAATCATGTTCAGTTATGCACTCAATACTTGGTCGGGAATCCTTTTGCATGAATGACTGCTTCAATGCGGCGTGGCATGGAGGCAATCAGTCTGTGGCACTGCTGAGGTGTTATGGAGGCCCAGGATGCTTCGATAGCGGCCTTAAGCTCATCCAGTGTTGGGTCTTGCGTCTCTCAACTTTCTCTTCACAATATCCCACAGGTTCTCTATGGGGTTCAGGTCAAGAGAGTTGGCAGGCCGATTGAGCACAGTAATACCATGGTCAGTAAACCATTTACCAGTGGTTTTGGCACTGTGAGCAGGTGCCAGATCGTGCTGAAAAATGAAATCTTCATCTCCATAAAGGTTTTCAGCAGATGGAAGCATGAAGTGCTCCATAATCTCCTGATAGCTAGCTGCATTGACCCTGCCCTTGATAAAACACAGTGGACCAACACCAGCAGATGACATGACACCCCAGACCATCATTGACTGTGAGTGTTTCACACTGGACTTCTGGCATTTTGGCATTTCCTTCTCCCCAGTCTTCCTCCAGACTCTGGCACCTTGATTTCCGAATGACATGCAAAATTTGCTTTCATCCGAAAAAAGTACTTTGGACCACTGAGCAACAGTCCAGTGGTGCTTCTCTGTAGCCCAGGTCAGGCACTTCTGCCGCTGTTTCTGGTTCAAAAGTGGCTTGACCTGGGGAATGCAGCACCTGTAGCCCATTTCCTGCACATGCCTGTGCACAGTGGCTCTGGATGTTTCTACTCCAGACTCAGTCCACTGCTTCCGCAGGTCCCCCAAGGTCTGGAATCGCCCCTTCTCCACAATCCTCCTCAGAGTCCGGTCACCTTTTCTCGTTGTGCAGAGTTTTCTGCCACACTTTTCCCTTCCCACAGACTTCCCACTGAGGTGCCTTGATACAGCACTCTGGGAACAGCCTATTCATTCAGCAATTTCTTTCTGTGTCTTACCCTCTTGCTTGAGGGTGTCAATGATGGCCTTCTGGACAGCAGTCAGGTCAGCAGTCTTACCCATGATTGCGGTTTTGAGTAATGAACAAGGCTGGGAGTTTTTAAAAGCCTCAGGAATCTTTTGCAGGTGTTTAGAGTTACGTCATTGATTCAGATGGTTAGGTTAATAGCTTGTTTAGAGAACCTTTTCATGATATGCTAATTTTTTGGGACAGGCATTTTGGGTTTGCAATGAATCTGAAATATATGAAAGTTTCATTTTTATCATTACATTATGGAAAATAATGACCTTTATCACAATATGCTAATTTTTTGAGAAGGACCTGTATATAAATAAAGGTTGAATGAAATTTAACTGTCAAAAATACATCCCAAATATCTTAACCCTATTTCTTTCAGCTGTGTTCATGTTGTGATATCACAATCCCTGGTCACTTTATAGGTCAACCTTACTACTACCGAGTATGACCCCTATTTGCAAACAGAACTACCTCATGGTGGCATACAGTGGTGCTTGAAAGTTTGTGAACCCTTTAGAATTGTCTATATTTCTGCAAAAACGTGACCTAAAACATCTTCAGATTCTCTCACAAGTCCTAAAAGTAGATAAAGACAACCCAGTTAAACAAATAAGACTAACATTATACTTGCTCATTTATTTATTCAGGGAAATGATCCAATTCCACATATCTGTGATTGGCAAAAGTATGTGAACCTTTGGTTTCAGTATCTGAGTGACCCCCCCCCCCCCCCCCACCCCCATCCCCCCAAAAAACTGTGATTAAACGTTAAACTGTTGAGTTACCAGCAACTGCACATGGGCTTGGAGGAATTTTAGCCCATTCCAGAACAGCTTCAACTCTGGGATGTTGGTGGGTTTCCTCACATTAATTTATATAATATTTATAATTCAGATTTCATTGTTCCATCAATGATGGGAAGACATCCTGGCCCAGATGCAGCAAAACAGACCCAAACCATGATGCTACTACCCCTATGTTCTGCCTTCTCAATACCAGACGGTGGGCGGCGATTTCATCACCTACTCTGACTGGTATTACTCGGACTTTTTTTTTTTTTTATTCCTTTGGAGCCAATCGATGCGCTGGCTTGAGATATTCACATGACCGATTTCAGTCGCTCTAGTGGCAAAGACTCAGCCTCTCACACTCAATTTGTCGACAGAGTATAATGTGCCATATGCAGCTTTCATTTTTTTTCCCCAGCGAACATCTCTTTGGCCAACAGTGTTAATTTTTTCAAGTGTTTTATCAGTTAAGTTGTATTAATAATTTTAACAATACATTTTATTTGTTCGTGCATTTCAGGACACCCTAGGACACTTTACAAAATTCAAAACAATACAATTCAAAATCAAAAAAGCACAAACTTTATCAAAAACAAGGCCATGAAAATAGATCAAGTAGGCTAACTTAAAAAGTAGTTTAAAGTTATGATTTGAAGGTTAAAAAGAGAGTCAATAATGGTGCTTTGCCATTGTCTCAACTTTCACTGGTTCCTCACCACATCATACCAGTTAAGGGCCTGTCCACTGCTGGTACCCACCCCGACTGCCTGGTTTATGGGACCACCTTGTTCGTGGTTCCAAGCCGACTGCTCCGAGGTGCCGATTTTGACGTAAGCAGACAGCAGACGTTGAATGGCCAACGGAGCTACATCACTGGATGACCCACCCAGCAAAACTGCAAACTACATCTGATCCTCCATTTCCTCTCTGATGGTGTTGACGGACCGCGCCACAAGAAATGAGCACATTTACAGAGAGATATCAGAGATGATAGCTACACCCAGACTTATACACAGTGCTGGGATAAGCTAAAGAAAATGAAACCCGATTATAGGGCGATTAAGAACCACAACATGGGGAGTGGCTCGAACACAATGATCTGTTATGTTTTTGCCCACTTTGCATTGATGATCCTCAGAGCGGGGAAACAAGTCACAGTTGCAAATCTGTCCTGTGAAGAACCGATAAGACGAGAGCCGAGTAGAGTCACACTTATAAATGGCAAAGCGGCTTATGGAGCAGAGCAAGAAAAAGCTCAATTTCCTATGGTGCTGCTGAGGCAGACAGGGCATGGGGAGGTGGATAGAAGAGAAAGAACAAAGAGAATGAGAAGATAAAATAGATGAGGAGTGATGAGGTTGTGAATGATCTTGAATGTGTACAGCAGGACTTGAAATTGAATTCTGAATAAGACTGGGAGTAAATGGAGTTGCTGGGGTGATGTGGTGAAATGAGGCAGTTTTGGTAATGATGAAGGCAACTGAATTTTGAACCATTTGAAGCTTCCAGAGGGATTTGTGAGGGAGATCGAAGAGGAGAGAGTTTTAATAATCAATATGGGAAGTCAGACTATCAACAAGGATGGAAACGGTGTGTGGAGAGAGGGAGGGATCGATTCAATTAATATTTCTAAGCTGGAAAGATGTAAAATTGTATCATTGTATTGTCCAGTTTTGTGAGCCTGTGTAAAGTGTAGCCTTAGTTTTCCATTCTTAGCTGACAGAATTGGCAGCTGGTTTGGTCGTCTACTGCTGTAGCCCATCTGCTTCAAGGTTCAAAATGTTGAGTGTTCAGAGATGGTATTCTTCATACATTGGTTGTAAAAAATGGTTATTTGAGCTACTCTTGCCCGTCTATCATCTAGAATCAGTCTGTCCATTCTACGTCTGACATCAATGAGGCATTTTTGTCTTTGCACATTTTCTTTTTTCTTCTGACCCTTTCCTGTAAACCCTAGACGTGGTTGGGTGTAAAAAAAAAAAAAATCCCAGTAGATAAGCAGTTTCTGAAATACTTAAACCAACCTGTCTGGCACTAGCAACCAGTCTCTTAAATTCCCTGTCTTCTCCATTCTGATACCCGACTTGAACTTTAGTGTGTCGTCTTTACCACGTCTAGATGCCTAAATGCATTGAGTTGCCGCCATGTGATTGACTGATTAGCTGTTTGTGCTAACAAGCAAGTAAACAAGTGTATCTAACGAAGTGGCAAGTGAGTGTATGTTCAAACTTCTGATATTTCAGCTGTAGTTGTCCTGGGAGTCGTTGTACATCATGATAAAGAAAACGTTTTATTACTGTACAGTTCATGCACTGTGTCGTTTGAGCATTCCTTGTCAAGGATGATGCTGTGTTCTGCTTTCGTCTGACTCACTTGTCCTGGTTTGTGTTAATGGAAAAGATGAAATCTGCTTTTTCCAGTCATCAGAAATGCAATGATTTACAGCTGTTTCTGCCCGCGACCTGCTCTGTCAAGTTGGGATTGTAATGTCATGTTTGTCAAAGATAAGCGCTTACTCTCTGAGCGTGATGGATTAGACAATATCAAGTTTGCTAAGTGTAAGCCTTTAAGGTTTGTTCAAACTTAATACTTTTTTGCTTTCTGTGCTAGATATTGTCAGGCTCTGTGGCTGAAGTCGACTTTATAAATCAATGTAATTTCATCCGTTTCCAGCCAAAGCTTTCAGCAATCCATTTTGTCATTTATCAGTTTTCTTTCACTCAAAACGTATCTTTTTTTTTTTCAGCTCCTGGAAGGCAGCTTCACATCCCAAGTCAGCCATGAAGTCGATGGACTTATCTTCCAGCCGTGTGGGGTAAGCCATCATCTAGTTTTTTGACAGGCTGTAAATTGTCATATCCGAAGCTTTGTTGCCACAGGCTGAATACCAGGCACACACTTTTTTTTGCACTTCTACATAAGAATCAGACAGCTTGTTACTACCACAGCCCATTTGTCATCTCCTGTACCATTCTTACCCTCTGTCATTGTAGAGGAAACCACTTTCTTACAACTGCCCACTCTTGGGTGGATGCTCATAAATGCGGGACTCTGAGATGCTCCACACTAAATCAGGCTCCGGGTACCGGTAGTTTGCATTACGATAGGTGTCCTTGGTAGGAATACTAGCTTACCTAGTTTTAGAACAGCAGAAAATCATTTTTATCTGTGACAGTAATGTTATTCCACTTTCTTTTTTCTTTGATGGACTCGAGGGACCAGTTTCTTTTTGTGCAACAAATGAATAAATCTTCATAACATTATAGAAACAAGCGTTTTGCATATTATCCTCTGCTTCAACTTAAAGTTCTTGCTTGACCTGTCAATATTACTTTATACGCTGAAAAGGCACACTTTATTTGTTTACGAGAATTACAGCCTTAATACCTCTTTTTGTGTTAACCTTTCATAACAGAACTACTCGCTGGCCTTTTGTCACAAATTGTCACTATTTTGGATCTTGATGAAGTGGCTCTGAAATACTTTGGTGTTTTGTTGGCTAAACTGTGTTCAAACTATTTAAAAAAAAAAAAAAACTAATGAGAACATAATTGGTTTGACATTCGGGTCTCTCTTGTAAATGAGTCCTCGAGGCTCAATGGGATTTACTTGTCTAAATAAAGGTTGAATGAATTTGTTTAAGAGAAATAGTGTATATGTAATGTAGTAAAGAGGAAAGTAATATAATTTTGCTGTAAAATATATTTAAGTGGTGAACCACCACTGTTATTAATAGATAGACTGGGGTTTGATAAAAAAAAAAATAGGTCTATTAAATTTTCTTTTATTTTGTTTTTTTAATTTTGGCCCAAGATTTATCAATAATGTAGTTGGTTTGCTTTGGTTGTGTTGTTTTCAAAAACGTAATATATACTTACCATTTTATTTAAATTTTATTTTATCATCCCAGCCGGGTTCCTCGCCCCAAACCTTTTATCTTTTTGTCACTGTCAGTCACTAACAGAAATATCGTATTTTCCTGGCACCTATAATTCCCGATTCTCTAATATATTCATTGAATGTAATTTTTATCAATTGCTTTGGTTTTGGAGATTTTGTTTGTTTATTTTATAGTTTCATGGTTTACTATGCACATGCACATAGATGACAGAACGGACTTGAGTTTTTGTCATTTCCACAGTGGATTAATTTCTAAAATTGTCCAAAGCATGAGCATTAGTAGGATCAGAAAGGACTTGCTCTAACAGGAAAGTGTGATTATGGTTTTCCAGTTTTACTGCAAATTATTCTGTTCATTGTTTCTGAGAGAAAACTTTTGTAGACTATTGAGTTTCCAAACTGTTTACCATCCTGACTAGAATTTGGAATAGAGCAGTAATTCTGCAGCTGTATGTGTGAACACGTTGCCGTCTGTAGCCTTTGTGAATGTTATAGATTACGACTAACTGGGTCAAACTAACTGGCCTTGGACACACTCAGGCTGGTGTATGCTAGGATGTATGTATTAGAGCACTTATTGAACCTGAGAAGGAGATGCAACAATCATCAGCATCCCAGTCTTCGAATAGAAGAATTCAGTCAAATAGGGTTTTGGATTTGTTGTGACAGCTGAAATGATTGGTGTTCAACAAGCAGGAACAGAATGAGCGAGGCCAACGAGCAGATTTCCTGTCGGTGAAAAATCTAATTGGATAGACCAGTCGTTGAACAGACAAGTCGGTTCATTTTTCAGGTGCCTTTTATCACTCTCCTTATATAATTCTTGCCCGTGAATTGAACGGATGTCCTTTCACATCCCTGCAAAGTTGTACCGGATTTTCAGCTCGTATAAAAAAATTTACAGCACTGTGATGGTCCATGTTTCTCATTTGGCTTTCTATGTCCAAAGCGATTTGCGGTTAATTCGCTACTTATCTAGTGATGTCCCTTTTTCTGCAGTTTAACGTAATTGAACGGAGTATATCTCTCTGAACTATGAAGGTCAGCAGCTGGCTGGATCCTGCACGGCCACTCAGACACGTGGGTCAAAACCTGCGAAGCCGACACAACTAATGAGACTAAATGATGATGTTAATGGCGAGCCGTCTGATGTGATTTACAATTGCAAATGAGTATTTTTCGTCAAGCTTTTTGTTAATTGAATGAACTGGTTTACAAACTTGTTTTATCCTCCAACTTTTCCATTTTCTGAGGAAAAATTATGAAACGTTTTAGACAAAACAAATGCATTTGTCTTGCTCTTAAACAAGCGAGAGGCGACTTTCAGAGGAAATAACAACCGGCCTGGTGTCAGCATGGTGACAGACACAACCTTGACAACATATCGCATGTAACGCAAATAAGAATGACGAGGACCTCCTGTTTCTAGAATGGAAAAGGGGCATTGAATGAAAACTGAGGTGAGATGAGAAATATTGTAGCCGTTTTTGTGAAATGACCTTTTCAAATTGTTGTTTTTGTAAACATTTCCAGTTGTTCTCATGTTTTGTCCTCTCTGATATTGAGGCAGCACATCTACAGAACATGCAAGCTTCATTTCAGCAGCAAACACACACAAGTGCGTTATGTTTTTTAATTTTGTTTTTTACCTTTTTTATTAATCTTTCCTCGTTAGATTGTTTATGGCTCTTGTTAGAAGTTTCTCTTATTGCCTGGATATACATATACATAATGTATATGTAATGTAGTAAAGAGGAAAGTAATATAATTACTAATAATAATATAATATCATAAATAATATGAATATTTTGTTCTTGAAGCTTGCACAGCAGTGGGAGATTCCTACTGGTTTCTGGGAAGCTCTTAATGCCACCCCATATTGCGAGTATTTGATGTTTCTGTTTTTGTACCAGATTCTTCTTTGTGCATTCCAGAGCTCCATCATGTTTGTTTATTTTGTAATATATCATGTTTCCTGTTTGTATTTATCAACTTAAACTCATCCAGTGTTAAAGGTCAGAAAGACTCTTGCCTTGATGCTTTAAAATCTTTTTCATTTTCACATGATAGTATTGCCACAAAGGAAGTTGCTACGTGCAGAACAACATTCACTGAAAAATGCACATTTTAAGACCAAGACCTATTGTGGTACCATTTCATAAACACATGCAGTCTCTTAAATGCAACAAGTGCATTTAAATCATGACACTTTGAACTTTGAACAAATTTGAGAAACAATTTTTATACCTTATCTAATGGCAGTGTTGAGGACTTTGTAGGCCTGTTCTTTTGGCTCATTTAACTGTATAATTCTAGTTGTTTATTTTTTGTCTGTCTCAAAATTGAAAACTTTGCCTCTCGTTGTTAGGGTATAATTTACAACTGTTGCAAAATGTCACTGTGTACCGTTTTTTTTTTTTGCAATAAGCCCAGTAAATTGGCTGGCATCAAGAAGAGATTAAAAAGAAAGAGACTGATGCAGTGAAGGTTGAAGGAAAGACAAGTACCGAGAAAGATTGCCAGCCAGCAGCAACTCATGTTTCACAGCAGCAGGAAGTCATGAGGGATTACAAGAATCACTCGGAGCCAGAGTTCTTGAGGCTGAGGGCAAAACATAAAATGTGAGGAAAAAATAAAATGTGAGCAAAAGTGACAAATACACTAGACAAATCGTTAATGATGTTTCACTATTGGTCAATCGCATTGTGACAATAAACAATGTAAAGAGAGATGACAAGGAAAAATAAATACCGATAGAACTTTTCCAAACCTGTCTGTCACAGGGACAAAGTCTGGTGCAGCGTCTGCTTGGCAGACTCACAGGGGGTTACATTACTTTGTTTAGGATTAGGTTGAAAGATTGTGGAAAATATTCTAATTGCATTTTTTTTTAACCTCAATATTGCGATTGCGATTTAATATGCAATTATTTATCAATGTCTTCTTCTCATGTATTTTTCAACGAACACGAGCAATAAATCAATCAGCTTCAATTGCAAAGAACTCCACTGTTTTCAGCTCCGCTGCAACTCTGTTTCTGCATTCTTTTGTATAGCTCCGGGATAGCAACTTTGCTAAAATGTGTGCACAAGGGCATTCTGTACCACTTGTCCATTGTGTTTATCAAAGCTGTAAACCCAGGCTTGGTCACTATATTAATGGGCATCATGTCTTTCGCTATGAACTCCATTATTGCTCGAATTATTTCCGCACGCTGTTTCTAATTATGTTCATACGGAGTAATACCTTCGAACAGTTCGGTCAGTGATCCCTGTCAGCTGGTACTTTGCTTACTTAAGTTGAAGCACTGGTCGTTGGCATTCTAGCCATGCAACTATCGTAAATGGCTTGGTGGGTTTTTTTAAAGTGTTGATAAAGATTCATGGTGTTACCTCGAGAGGTAGCAACAGCAGCAAGACAGGTTCTGCACGATAAATGTCGTTGCTCAGCGTTATTTTTTTATAGTCAAAATAATTCCAAACAACGGACATGATGCCCCTCTTTGGTACCAAACTTTCAGATGTTTCAGCTTCTGCCGAGCCTGACGCCATTGTGCAACCAGTTAAAAGTGCAATGTTGACTTCTCCCGCTCCCTGCTCTGCTTTGCTCCGCTCACTCGCAAGTAACCAGATCACACGACCAATCGAATTGCAGCCTTCGCGATTAGAAAATCTCGTTTTATCATATTGCGATATTATTGCAAATGCTATTAACTGTTCAGCCCTATTTAGGATTACAGACTAAAGACCTTTGAGTGCAAGTTTTCTACGTGATGTCCATCGAAAGGTGGACGTATGATGGTATAGTTTCCATCTGTCCATAAATTTTCCGTTGTCTCCATAATGTCTGACCCACTCAAAATAATTTAACAAAACTTGAAACACATTTGTACCACCACTAGACAGCGTGTCATGA